AGGGGGAGGCCTGCCTAGCTTGGGGGTGGGGAGGGGGAGGCCTGCCTGCCTAGCTTGGGAATGGTGACGGGGAGGCCTGCTCAGCCTGGGTGGGAGGGGGAGGCCTGCTTAGCTTGGAGGGGGCAGAAGGCCTACCCAGCCTAGGGGAGGGGGAGGCCTGCTCAGCCTGGGTGGGAGGGGGACACCTGCCCAGCCTAAGCAGTGGGGGAGGGATGTTGGTAAGAGCCCAAGCCACGTCACTGGGGTCCTGGCAGGCAGGTGTGGGTAGGTGAAAGTTAGGCCTCTGAGCCCCTCAGGTTGGCCCTGACTGATTTCTTTCTCTTCTCTTTTCAGCGGAATCCAGATTCCTGGAGCACAGAAGCCTCTGGAGACTGGGGGACTGAGGAGAGCTGGGGGACCCTGGAGTCAGAGAGCAGTAGGTCCCCTCCTCTCCCTCCTGGTGCCCTTCTGGGGGGGAGGGGCTAATGGGGTTGCGCAGAGCTGGAGCCTTGAAGGAAAAACCCCCACTAAGCCCCTGCTTTATGTCATGGTCTCCCAGGACAGGCCAAGGCCGAGCTCGCTCGAAAGAAGAGAGAAGAGAGGAAGAGAGAAATGGAAGCCAAGCGGGCAGAGAGGAAGGTGGCCAAGGGGCCCATGAAGCTGGGAGCACGGAAGCTGGACTGAACGTCAAACCCTGGCATCGCCCCCTCCTCAGAGCCAGGGCCACATCGGCTCCCGTGATGGGAGTGGAAAGGGGGCGCGGGCCAACCCGCCCCACCCTCTGCCCGTGTATTTATTGTACAAACCATGCGTGAGGACCCAGGCCGGGCCCAGCCTGGCTCAGGGCCTGGCTCCCCATGTACATAATCAGAGCTGGAATACATTTTATTTCTAGCCCCTCCGAGTCTTGGGCCTGGAGTGTTGGATCATGGGAGCTGCTTGGGGGAGGGGGGCCAGAAGAGCTGGGCTGCCTCCTTTGGGGTGGTGGGGGCCCTTGAAGGGCTGGGTTGCTTTCTGGGGGGGGGGGGGCCCTGAAGGGCTGGGCTGCCTCCTTTGGGGGGGGGGGGGCCCTTGAAGGGTTGGGCTGCTTCCTGGGGGTGCCCCTGAAGGGCTGGGCCGCCTCTTCTGGCTTCTGGAAAGAATGTGACCCCCTAGGATTGACACTCTCAGGCCACCTTCCAAGAAGAGCCCGCCTCCCACTGACCCCCCACAAGGGGTGGATCGGGACTCTGAGGGCCAGGCTTATTCTTCCAGACCAAGAACTTGCAGGAAGAAGAGTAAACAGGCCAACTTTATCTCTGCGGGCTCCCCATAAACATCTCGGTGGGTGGGCAGAATCAGTCACACCCACGGGTAGGGAGCAGGTGTCCCGGCTTCTGTTACTAAGATACAATCTCCTAAGAGCCTGGTACAGGTGCCTGCCCCAGCAAGCTGGCAGTCCATAGCCAAGCCGTGTCCACACAGTCAAACAGCCGGGGGCAGCTCCACTGGGGCAGCTCCAGGCATGACGTCCCCTTGGGACCCTGGCACGTCCCTCAGAGCTGCAGGGTCCCGGAAGGCGGCTCGTACCTGGCCTCAGCCCTCTGAGAGCAGGGAGGGCGAAGCTCGCACGGGAGCCCCCCTTCCGAGGAGGGAAGCCCTCCCAGCCCTCCCCCCTGCAGGCTGCTCCTCGTCCGGCTCTCCAGCGGGCGCCGGGCTCAGCGGCGGCGCTGGGGCACGCACGCCCCGTGCGGCCTGATGCGCACGAAGCCGGCCTTGCAGGCGCAGCGGAAGGAGCCGCTCGTGTTGACGCAGCGCTCGCTCTTGCACAGCAGCCCCCGCTGGTTCAGCTCGCGGCACTCGTCAATATCTGCGGCGAGACGGCGAGGAAATGGACCAGGCTGGGAGCGGGGCCGCCGCCGGCGCTGCCTCCGCCCCCCCCCCCCCCCCCCGGCCGCCCCGGCCGCCCCGGCTCACCCACGCAGCGCGTGCGGGACGCGTCCAGCTGGAAGCCGCCGGGACACTCGCACACCGCGCCCCCCGGGCGGGCCACGCAGCGGCCGCTCACGCAGCGGCACTCGTCCGAGTCCTCCTCGGAGCTGTCCTCTTCTGCGACCGAGAGGGATGACGATGATAATACTAGCTAACATTTACATAGGGCTGCGAAGCGCTTTTCACACCCTGTGAGGTAGGCGGAATTACTATCCCCATTTTAGAGATGTGGAAACTGAGACTGACAGCGGTGAAGTGACTTCCCCAGGGTTATTCACACAGCTCGGTCGCAAATGCCTGCGGAGGGGCTCCGGGTCCACTTCTCTGTGGACCCCGAGCCCCGAAGCTGGACTGGGGCGGCGGGGGTGGGGCGACTCACCTCGGTGGGGCTTCCTCAGGAACAGGGGGCTCACGTCCCAAAAAGAGTTACTTTCGCTCTGGGAGTTCGGACACTGAAGTCCTGGGGAGGGGAGAGGAGGGGCGGGTCGAGGTGTGAGTTTAGAGGTGCAGGGCTGCTAACCTATGGCCTGGATGGGATTTCCGAGGTCATCTAGGCCCACTACCTCCTTTTACAGAGAGGGAAACTGAGGCCCAGAGGGTCAGGGACTTGGTCACCGTCACACCGTCAGCAAACAGAGCAGTGGGATTTGAACCCAAGGCCTCTGACTCCCTATGCAGCTTCCCTTTTCTCCGTCCCCTCCTTCACAGATATTTGTGGGGTACCTCTGCGGTCCTCGCTTGGGGCACTTGACTCTATTCTTTAAACCAAGCCACAGACCCCTCCTTCCTCCCCCCAGCTCCTTCCTGCTCCCGTTCTCCCCCACACCCAACCCTGCCTCTGGCTCACCTGGCCCCCGTGGTGGGCAGGGACGACATTGGGCCCCCCAGCCTCGGCCCTGACGGCAGCAGCAGTCCTCATAGGGCAGGAGAGGGCCAGCCAGGGGCCCTGCACACATGCCATCGTCCCCTCGCTGGCCCCAGCACACATCCCTCCGCTCCTGGGGTCTGTCTGCAGGGCAACAGGGAGAGAGAGGCTGACCCTCTGGAGAGGCCTTCTGTCTTCCCCTGCTCCCCCTCCCTTCTGGGCAGACAGACAAGGGCTAGTGAAGGCCCCCCCCCCCCCAGATAGGAACCAGGCTGCCTTTCTGATCTTGGCTCAAGTTACCAGCCCCTCCCCACACACTGTGTCTCCTAATCTGCACTGGCCTTTGCTTCAGCTGTTTCTAACATCTGGAATTTAATTAAAAGCAAATGTTGTCCCCTCCAAGAAGCCTTCCATGATGCCCCTGCCACATCAGGAACTGCCCTTTCCCCTGGATCTCCCAGAATTCTTGGATCCACACCCCTTTCTTGCAGGTTTCACTTTGAATTGTCCCCTTCATAGACCGGGATCTCCCTGAAGGCAGAGGGAGGCCTGGCTGAGCTCAGGGTTTGTCCCAGCATCATCCAACACACTCCTTAGCATCCAGGACTTGAATGAATGAATTGGGACGAGCAGAGACAATGACAGAGATGGACAGAGACACAGCCAAGCACAGCGATGCCCAGCCCTCACCTGCGGGGCTCTCCAAGAGCTGACAGTCCCGTCCAGTGGGCCCTGGAACCCAGGGCAGGTGGCACTCACAGCGAAAAGATCCAGGGAGGTTAATGCAGCGTCCATGCTGGCAGGCCCCGGGATCTTGACATTCATCCACGTCTACAAGCAGAAGAGTTAGCCCCTGACCTCCTTCTCCTCCTCTTCCGGCCTCCAGCCCAGCTGCCCCTTCCTTTCTTGCCCCCAGGACCCCGTCCCAGTCCTCACCCATCTCTTCAGGGATCAGACACTGGCGCTGGGCTGGGCTGTACTCTGCGGGAGGGGTACAGGAGCAACGGTAGCCACCTCTGGTGTTCTCACACACGCCATTCCTGCACTTGGATTCATCCAGACACTCATCGACATCTGAGCGGAGGGAAAGGAGTGGACTCCCATTGTCCCTTCCTCCCCACAAGCCTCAGAGCCTCTCTCTCCCAGGCCTGCTGGCAGCCGCTGCCCTCGGGGCTCACCCGCCCGGGGAGCAAAGTTGGAGAGCTAAGGCTCGCCCTCTGCCTCGTCTCCTCCCAATCTTCATGTCCCTTCTGGAGGGAGCAGGCCACGGGCTACATCCCCATTTCACGAGGAGAAAACCAAGGCCCAGAATCAGTTAGTAAGGAGGAGAGATGAGGAGAAGCCTGGGTGTCCTAATCTCACAGGAACTGATGGGCTTCTAATCTCTGCCCTGGTCAGACACCACGTGGAATGGCACATCCTGCCATAGAAGCCTCATCGTAGGAAAGACATAGCTAAGTGTCCAAAGCGGGCGGCAAACATTAAAAGGGCTGGATGGAAGGGGGCTCGTGTGCTTGGCCCTAGGGCAGAACCCGGACACGTGGAGGGCCCAAGCAAAATGGGCCGCCTGGGCAGGGAGTGGCTGCTCCATTCCTGGAGGTCTCTGGCTGGAGCTGATCACCCACACACTCACCCACGCACTCCAGCAGGTTCCCATCATAGTAGAAGCCTTGCTTGCAGTAACACTCGTAGCCTGGCTGAGTGTTGACACACTTGCCCTCCTTGCAGATCTCCTCTCCAAAGAGCACACACTCATCAATGTCTGCAGGGGGACCAGCAGGGCTCAGCAGGGAGCCCCCACCTCGGCTTTGCCCTTTTCAGCCAGAGCCAGAGCAGAGGAACCAAAGTGGGGTTCCCCATTCGTCGTCTCTGTGCCCAACTGCAAGCTTCTGCATGTGCCTGGCTCACCCAGGGCATTGCATCTCCAACTCCCACCTGTTTGCAGTGACTGGGCCTTGTGCCTGGAATGCCCTCCCTCCTCACTTCTACCTCACAGAATCCCTAGCTGTCTTCCAAGCACAGCTCTGGTGCCCCTTCCCACAGAAGGCCTTTCCTGATTCCCCCAGTTGTGAACACTCCCTGCACCCTGAAATTTACTTTATATTTTGTGTTCTATGTATACATGGTGAGCCCTCCCCCCCCCAACCTCTCATGATAAAAACTCCCTGAGGGCAAAGATGGGTTCATTTTTGTTTGTGTACCTTAAGTTCTGAACTCAGGAAGCACTTAATAAATACTTGTCAAGCATACAGTAGATACTTCATAAATGTTTGTTAAATGAACGGGAGGGCAGGGAAGCGCTCCTTACCCCGATGAGCCGGAATGCCATAGTTGATTATGTTGTTTTCTTGGATATAACCTTTTCCATCTGGACAGAGACTATGAAATTCAGCTGGGGGGCGAGAGAAACAGAAGGGACAGTGAGGACTAGTTCCTTCCCTTCCTCTCATAGCAACCCAGCATTCAGATCTAGGCAGGACTTTAGAGATCAGCTAGTCCTGGGGTCTTCTAGAATAATAATAAGCATAGCTAACATTTTTATAGTGCCTTAAGGTTTGCAAAATGCTGTACATGTCATCTTATTGGGTTCTCATAACATCTGTAAGGGAGGTGTTGTCATTGTCCCCATTTTACAGATTAGGAAACTGCGGCCAAGAGGTTAAGTTACTTGCCTAGAATCACACAGCAAGTAAGTGTCTGAGACCGGATTTGAACTCAGGTCTTCCTGACTCCAGGCCCAGTGTTCTCTCCACTGCAGCGCCACCTAGCTGCCTCTAGAACTAGTATGGAGCTTAGAGACCATCTAATTGAACTCTCTCATCTTACAAATGGGCAAACAGGCCTAATGCCTTTCCCAAGGTCACCCAGGGAGAAAGCATCCAAAAGGCAGGATTTGAACCCAGGACCTTTGACTCAGAGCATCATCCTGCCTCCTGAAGCCTCATTTTACGGAGGAAGAAACTGAGGTGGGAAGAGGGGAAACCTGTGGCTCTACATCCCCAAGGGTCCGTGGTCCCTCCTACCTGCGTCTCTGCTCCCCATGCTCCACCCCTCCCCCGTCTCCCAGA